GACTCGTGTTTCTCGCTTTTCACTTTCAACGCAGGCACGCAGGGTCTTTTCCGGCACTGCCCACTAGGCATACATATGTGCAGGGTTTCTCGGTGTCTCACCAGCTGATTAGTCGTGGTGGGCATTCGCTACTGTATGGATACACACCTAAGAATTAAGACGCGAATACTTCATTATTCACGCCTCGAAGTGATTTAGAACAAAGTGCCCACGAAATGTCAAACGCCTAGGTAGGCAATACGGTTTTCGTGGCGTCCACCGTCCACGGATTGTCCATCGTGCTAGGCATATCATAACCGCGTATGTAGGTACGGAGTAGATGGAGTGGACATTTGCGGTAGGTACAGAAAGCTAGGGGCCCATGTCCATAATGTACTTGGACTTTATCGAAGGTACGGGATACGGAGTACCCTATTAATCATGGGCTCGGCTGAAAGGGGTATGGCGGCAAGGCCGTATCGCTACTGTACTCGCAGACTGACTGCAAGACGCTCGAGTCTCCTGCACTACACAGTAATGGGGTGGTACCTTAGTCGCAACTTGAGGAGTCCTACCTAGGTATGGACTGATGAGAGATGCTAATGGCCAGCCAGCCCCTCAGTAAGTGCCCTTGAGTAGGTACCATACTACGCAGTTGGCCTGGTACCTACCACCTAACCTCACGCTCAGCTGCACCACTGCACCTAATCCTCCGCTTCTATCCATCCTTGCTTCTCAACCCCAAATCTCGCGCTCCTGACAGAACCCGACACTGCTTCCTTCTCCCCGTCTCCTCTACTTCGTACGCCTAGGTACCCTCCACTCTCCTCTCCACCGCCCCAACGACGACCGATAACCCATTCTCCGCCCGCCCTCTTCGCTCTTTCACCTTTGCCTACACTACCAGTCACCGACGACCTCTGCCATTTTCCCCTTTCGACTTGACATATTCTGCAACACCAAACTCCGTACGAATACCCAGAAACCTTTTCTCGACGTCAATCCCATTTCGAAGCGCCCCACGACGTCTCACCCTTTGTGCGACGAGCCTCGACTAGAACGAAACACGACAGTCAGCAGCCGTATCCGTTGTAATTGTGCGCGCGTGCGCCTATGGATTGAGGGCATCTTTACGTTCGGTTTCGCCCTCCGATAACAAGAGAAATCGCCCTGCTTCGTCCACAATCATCCTTCGGATTGCCCGACCGTACGATCGGCGGATATTAAATTAGTAGTTGGATTCGCTGAGACTTTGCCTTCCATCATGTCCTCAAGTACACCCACGCCGCCAGATACAAATGGCGCCAACTCCCACAAACGCCCTCACAGCCCAGACGCCGAATCCAATGGTCGAGAAGGGGCCGCCGATAACAGCAACGTTCCCAAGCCGAAGCGCCTAGCATGTATGATATGCCGGAAGCGCAAGTTGAAGTGTGACGGAGTGCGGCCCAGTTGCAGCACTTGCGCCAGGCTTGGCCATTCTTGCGCCTACGATGAGGTTCGCAGGAAGAGTGGCCCCAAGCGAGGATATGTCAAGGCTCTAGAGGAACGACTGAGTGAGCATTCCCGTCTTTGCGCCTTGCTCTTTTTTGACCTTTGCCTTCCTCGTTCCACGTCTTCTTCTTTTCCCCGTGTGTTGCTGTCCATCGCCCTGACTGACTGAACGTCTTTACACCCTGTATAGAACAAGTCGAAACCCTGCTCAAGACCCAAGACCCTCCCCCCGTGCCATCCAATCCCTCCTCCAACATACCTCACAACTTGGACGCAGCTGCAGCGAATCGTAGCCGAACTACTGCCGCTCCGACTAGTTACAGTATTCCTAATCCCACTCTTGGTCTCGGCGGCGACCACGACGTCGACCGATGGCGCTTCACCGGCGAGTCTCCTCAGGCTCAGAATGCGGCTGCCCCTCCTATGCATGATTTCAACTTCAACTCGAGCATGTCAATAGGCATGAGCAACGCCGGAAGCAACTTCACTTGGGAAATGATTGGACTGGGCCTTGAAGAACCTCTTCCTCCACAGGAAACCATCGATGAGCTGTCAGTATCATCACGATATCTCCTCAAGGCCACCGTACTCACTGACGGTTGCTTCGCAGCCACCAAATCTTCTTTGAAAAGGTTCATCCATCCGTGCCTATGATCCACAAGTATAGATATCTAGCAGCCATGAACTTGTACGGGCCCCATCCAGCTAGCCATGTTTGAAAGCGGCTAAACCCATACTGACGTGACCGGTAGGGCTCCAAACCAACGACCGCCAGTTGCACTACGATATGCCATCTGGACCTTGTCGTGCTCAATCACTGAAAAATACCTTGACCTCAAAGACTTGTTCTATCAAAGAGCTCGTAAGTATGTCGAGGCAGATTACATCAAAGGCTATGGCGAGCACATGATATCTGTGGCTCATGCTCAGACCCATGTGCTGCTTGCCTCATACGAATTCAAGATGATGTACTTCCCGAGAGCTTGGATGAGCACGGGTTCTGCCATTCGCCTGTGTCAAATGTGAGCTTATGATATCTACCAACCGGGACTCGATAGCTAAATTGTGCTCAGGATTGGCCTGCACCGTCTCGATGGTGCCGGATTGGACGTGAAGCAGTGTCTTCCACCGCCAAGGGATTGGACCGAGCGTGAGGAGAGACGACGTACCTTTTGGATGGCATTTTGCGAAGATCGCTACGCAAGTATTGGCACTGGGTGGCCGATGACGGTGGATGAAAAGGACATCATGACAAACCTGCCTTGTACCGAGGAGTCTTTCGACATGAGCCGACCCGAGCAGACGCAGTCGCTGCAAGACTGCATGAGCCCGTCCGGGGCTGGCAAACTCTCCTCTTTTGGAGGCATCGTACTGATGGCATGCCTCTTTGGCCGCAACCTGATTCACTTGCACCGGCCTGACCCCGATGACCGAGACCACGACCTCAACGGCGAGTTCTGGAAGCGGCACCGCAACATGGACAACATCCTTCTCAACACTTCTCTCTGTTTGCCGTCGCACCTCAAGCTTCCCATTGGTCTGGGCAACCCTAACATCGTCTTCACCAATATGAGCATCCACACATCGACAATCTGTCTGCACCAGGCCGCCATCTTCAAGGCAGATAAGAACAAACTTCCGGCTTCAGTCAGTGCAGAAAGCAAGGTGCGCTGTATTACAGCGGCAAACGAGATCGCGAGTATCATGAGAATGATCTCACACATGGACCTCTCAGCGGTATGTCCAGCAAGTGTCTTGTGAGACCTGAGGTACTAACAAGTCTCAGATGAACCCCTTTATATCCTTCTGTCTTTACGTTGCAGCAAGGGTATTTGTTCAATATCTCAAGAGTCGTCCAGACGATAGCCAAACAGCCGACTCATTAAGGTTCCTTCTCTCAGCCATGAACGCACTAAAGAGAAGGAACCCTCTCACAGAATCGTTCCTTGTGCAGTTGGACGTTGACTTAGAAGCCCTTGCTATGAGAATACCAAAACTCAAGACGGCATTTCCCCGCAGCGGTGAAAGCGTGAGTGAACAATCTTCTTGGTGGTTTTACATGTGCTAATCGTTTGACAGCCCGGCTCGGCCAGCGGCAACGGCACCGCCAAGAGTGGTGCTGTGTGTGACGATCCGGAAGGCGTTCAGGGTATCATGTCCTACCGTAACGAGTGTCACTTCATGAAGACTGTGGATGATGATGGGAATGCCGCCAATGCGCCGAACATCGTTGAGCCTAGCCAGAATGACGAAAGCGCTCCCATTTCTGCCTCTGCGACGACTAATCTCGGTGGTCCAGGCGGCTGGTTGTCCGCAGAGGCATCTCTATTGTATGGTTCAAACAGTACCAACAACCTCCCATTGCATGGAAACTCATTGACACCGAGCTCCGGGTCCATGTACGACAAATCGGGATCAAGCAGTGGCCGTGTTACTGGATTCGGACAAAGCGAAAGCAGTGGCGACAACAACATGTCCGGTTCACCAGACGGTGACCAGTCTAACCGGCCAACACCGAACTCGACTGCTTCAGATCCGCGAGTGACTATGGCAGGCGGACTCGATGGGTCCGGGAGGAACTCTTTCGATGCCAACGCAGCTACGACACAATCAAACAACAACGCTCGAGGGAGCGTAGACGCAAATACTAACTACTTCAACGATGCGGGCGGTTTTGGCATCCGCACTGGGCTGACGCCGAATCAAAGGTTTTCTATGCCTGATACACCTGGAGCGGATTTTGGAATGCCGAATGGCTGGGGCGACTTGCAGGGACAGACGGGCATGACGCCTGTCGCCGAGGGTGTACTTCGATCACTGATGAATATGGGGCCGATGGATGCAATGGATCTTTCATCGTGGGATGCGACAAACTGAGCGGTTGTTAATTGACTGATCAGGTCACGGAGTAAGGAGTTCACGGCCACGAAGCCATTTTGGATAATTTTTTATGTTTCAAAATACGGCAGTTGATACTAGATGATGTCGAATGGAAATCGACGGTCTTGGATGTGTATAATACGGGACTCACTGACCGCACTAGCAGAGGCAGGCAAACGGTTGAGAGCGTTGATCTGAGATTACTGCAGGACTCATGAATAAACCACACGACTCCCACGGACAGAATGGCTGATGTGTGATTGACTGATATTTCGTCAGATGCCATCTAAGGCAATTTGAACAAATTTGACGCCATCTCATCTCATGTAAGTAAAAGAACTTAACAAGAAGAGGACTGCCTGACCACATTTGACGGTGCCTGTAGACATGAAATGGCAGCCCCAGATGAAGTAGCGTTCGTGGTGCTGGTGATGGTGGTTGCGATGGCCAAAGCTCGTCGGGCCCGTGCACCAGTTGCCGCCTTGCCGCACCCCGGCCGCACGTTGCTGAGGTAAAACCACTGGGCACCCAACGTCGACCAACACTCGTCATCCACTTTTCCCCAACCACTGCGGCGTCGACGAAGGCACGACGCATTAAAGCAGCAACACGCCGCATCTTTTTGAACACCCACCCGCGTGCGTCAAATGCCAGCAGGTCCGTCCTCGCCGTTTGAAGTCTCTCCAGCGAGCAGGGGCGAGACCATCCCTCCGCATAGTCTCCACCCAGCTGCCCAGCAGCTACAGCAGCCGCCACCGCCACCTCCGCCTTTTGCTACCGGTGCCGATGCCGGTGCCGTAACCCACTTCCGCCCCGGCTCCGGCCCCCCTACTAACAACGGGTCTTCCATCGACATGTCTGGGATGGAGGCCCACCAATCGGTATTTCATGCCGAACTCTCACGAGATCAGGATGTACACATAACTTCTGCCGCAGACGGGCAAACTGAGCAGCAGCATGCTGTAGCAGTGCCTGGTGTCGGTGGCAGTGGTTTTGGACCAACGGGCCCGTCACCGTCCAATATTTCACACCGGTTAGTCCATGGCCCCGTGATGGAGCCATCGCCAGTTCAGCATGGCCAGTTTGGTATTTTGGCGCCGGGCCTTGCAATGCCAGAAGCCATTACGATTGAGACGGGCGAGTCTCTTGTCGGGCCCGCCGGATTCATCCCTATCGACGGTACCACTACCCCCGGATGGAGGCCACACGGCAGTCTTTTGAGCACAAAATGGGTCCTCGACCCCCCGAACCTCGATGAGTGGCGGCAGAAGCTGTTTGACGCAGATGGCCTCATCATTCTCACTCATGAGCAGTCCGTTATTCCCCTACTCCAGCCGCAGCTGCAGCAGCACTGCCCAACAACCCCAAGGTACCATTGTCTAACCATGTCAAAAGATTCGAAACCTACTTTCCACACGTAGACAATGTCTACTCCCACCGCTCGACCCAAAACTACAAGAAGAAGCCCTTCATCTCGCACTACTGGGACTGCCGCCTCAAGGGCCGCCCTCCAGGCACCAAAAAGTCCGACGACCCGACCAAGAAGCGCCGCAACCGCATCTCGCGCAAGCTCAACCTGTGCGACGTCAAGATCAAGATCACAGAGTATTTCCCGGGCGCCACCCTCCACGACGTCGACGACGGCACCTACGTGCCTCTGAACGGCGGCCAGGCGCTCAACGGGGCGCACACCGTGCTCGCGCCGCCCGGGGAGAGGGAGCTGAGGGTCGCGCCCGCCACGCCGAACAACTTGCCCGCGCCCGGGCAGAAGTTTTGGACAATTCAGCGGGTTAATGGCCACATCAGCGTCAGCGGCATCCCTGGACCGCATCAGCATACCCTAGCCAAGAGCGACGAGGTGAAGAAGAATAGTATACAGCGGTATCTTGCTAAGCATAAGACCGATGCAGCCAAGGTGAGGGTTACTTACATTACGCTGATAGTGAAGATGCCTCCCCAGAAACTGATACCATGTCGCTGAAATAGAATGATGGGCCTAGAAAGGCAACGGGCCGAGCTCACTGGACCATCAAGAAGCATGAGAAAGAGAGCGATCTGAAGCTGTATTCCGCATGTTACTGGTTCGTCCTTTCTCTGGCAGAACTCTCCATCTGTCTCTCATATATCAATCTAATTACCTCCCTCCCTTCAGCCCCTTTTCTCAGAGCGTCTGGATCGCACTCGAAGCAAAGGGCCTAGCGTACCAGTACTGCGAAGAAGATCCCTACAAGGTGGCCGCATCGCAACCGCTGCTGGAAGCAAATCCCAGGGGAACCGTCCCTGCGATACGGCAGGGCGACTGGGCTTGTGCCGACAGCGGCGTGATATTGGAATATGTCAGTCTAAACTCCTCCGCAGATGCGCTTGCCCCCTTCCTCATCGAACTCCCTCTTTGTTAATCATTCGCAACATTGCCGGCTATACAGCTCGAAGACATGGACAGTACCATCCCACTCTTCCCATCCGACGTAAAGCTCCGCGCAAATTGTCGACAATGGATAGGTCATGTTAGTCATACTCCCTCCCTTGTCTTCTAGGCAAGCATCAGCACCATCATAGTCCTAACACAGAGTATCCAACCTTAGATAAACACCCGTCTCGCCCCAGCATTCTACCGCCTCCTCCGCAGCCCTGATCCGACCCTGCGACCGCAGTACATTGAGCGCCTCCAAAACGCGATCAAGGACCTCGTTCTCGCCGCCGACGAGGAAGGACCGTTCTTTCTGGGCAACACAATGTCCCTCGTTGACGTACACTTTGCGCCCTTTGCCGTCCGTCTCTCGCGCGTCCTGCAGCCGATGTGCGGGTGGCCTGCGCCCGCGCCGGGTTTGCGCTGGGCGAAGTGGCTTGACGCGCTCGAGAGCAACGTGCACGTACAGGCTACGACGAGCGGGAAAGCTGTGTATGCTGAGACTGTGGAGTTTTTGCAGGTGGCTCTTGATCCGGATGGACAGCTGAGCATTTGAATACCGTTTGTGGAGGAAGTTTTTGCTTGGTGGATGGGTGATAAGCGTGAACATAACTACTTGGGGGACGAGAAGGATGGTGCGTAGTGAAACAGATCACAATGATTATGTATGTGGATTGGCCGAAAAAAAAGAGGTCAAGATTTCCACTGCCCTCAAGCCAAATTATTCGAACCAGACTATTCATCCTAGGTATCCTGAAAGATGGTTTAATCCCCAACTGTTCAAAACATTCTTCTTACGGATTCGTTGCCTGCGAAGGCGAAGGCGACACCCTCCTCCTCTTCAGATCATGCCACTTTTCCTTGACAGTAATCACCTCGCCTAGTTGCCTCGCCCTCTCACGCCCCTCTCCCAGCTCCTCGAGCGTTTTCTGCTCCAGCACGCGCCGCCCGGTGTCCTCGTCAATGACCCACCGCTGGGAGTCGGGCAGATAGGCCCAAGAGAAGACGGCGCCGACGGCGACAAAGGAGCCAAAGAGCAAAAAGATGAGTCCCTGCCGATTGACGGCGGTGTAGGACGAGTTGATGCCATACACGACGAGGAGGGCCACGATGCTACCCAGCTTTCCGGCGGCGGCGGAGATGCCGTGGCAGGTGCAGCGGTAACAGGTTGGGAAGATTTCCGCTGGGATGATGAAGGTCAGGGTGTTTGCCCCTGGAGGAACAAAAAACCATCTGTTAGTTGCTGCCGGCATGTGAGCAATCGAGAAGACACGTACCAAAGTTGAACATGAAGTGGCATAGCGCCACAAATACGACAGTCGCCGGCGCTCCAGGGGTTCTGTTGACGCCATAGTATACACAACCCGTAATGACAAATAGTATAGCCAGAACGAAAAAGGAAACTGTGAGCCAAAGTCTTCTCGGGATCCTATTGGCAGCGACGACAAAACAGGCACTGCCGGCGATCGAGGCGATGGACACAGTCAACAAATACTGCTTAGCCTGTTCCAGAAGCACATCATAGATGGTGTTGCAAGGTAGAGTTGCGTCCGTCTGCCAGACCGGAAGGCCGGTCTGGCTCCATAGTCGTGCGGTTGCGTTGCCGTCAGGAAACTTGGAGTTCCAGCACGGTAGCCGGTCGTCGATGGGCGTCGGTCCCGTGGTCGCCCACATGTCTGACAGAGTCCCTCTATTATCAAGACTGAGACCATAGAAGCTTACATCAAGGAAAAACCATGTTGCAGCGGTGCCTGCGTCATGGTTAGTATATGTGTGCTGTCAAACACAAGAGGCCACAACTGTGAACTCTCAAGACCCAAGACGATGTCTCGTAATTCAACCCGTAGAGAATTGGGCGAAGAGCTCACCTAGTAGGTAGTACCAATTTCCGTCTTCGATGAAGTACCTGTAAAGATCCTGCTTAGAAAATTGGATGGGCATAGGCTGTTGTGAGTTGGTTGGTTGCATCCCATCTTGAGGGGTCATGGGGTAGCCGGCTGTCGCGCCAGCAGGAGCGCCGTATACTCTCTGCGTGTTTCTCAAGGCGATACCGGGCTTGTTCCTGACCTCGAGACTGTATAATCCGCAGTCGAACAAAAAGAACCGGAAAATGATGGCTAAAAGAGCGGGGACGGCGCCAGAGCCGATGACGATGCGCCAAATGCCATCGACGGCGCGGCGACATTCCCTATCATATTTCGTGTCGAGGCCACACTGCATGGCTTGTAGGCCCTCGCTTTTGTCACGACCGACGAGAACCCAGAGGCCGACAAGTTGGGCAAGAGCTTGGCCTATGGGCTGCATCATGAATGTCTAACACTTTTGGTTAGTAGTGAGGTCCTAGGACTTAAAAGTTACTCGCTGACTGACAGAAGAGATCATAGTTCCCCTGGACTGAGTGCTCGACCATTCTGAGGTTATGACTGCGCTAAGGGGATACTCGGCACCGATGCCTTTTGTTCTTGAGTTAGTCGTGGTTGTTCGAGCCGAATCAACGGAACGGCCGAACTTGGTTGCTCACCGATACCCATCACGAAGCGCCACTATAAGAGTTCCAGATGTCAGCTGAGAAGATCCTCAACGGAGAGTGGAGAAGAGAAGTGAAACCGGCGGTAGTAACTCACCCAGATGAAAAGAGCCAAGAAGCTCATGTCATCGAAGCCATAGCTGCTAGTGGCAACACCAATTGTCGACACAATGACAAGTACAAGCTCAATGCCATAAAGGCGTGTTCGTCCATAAAAGTCGGCCAGAAAGCCAAAGAGCAATTGACCAATCACGGATCCCAGAAGAGTGAAGAAGTTGATGAGCAGCCCTTGCCATCTTTCGCCGGGTGAAGGCCAGTATACAAATGCTATGGAGGCAAGAATAACATTTGTGGAAAAGAGGTTGTAGCTACGCAATATAGTCAATGTACTGCTGTTAAATGATCACATTCTAGGTGAGAGCATTGAGAGGATAGCTCACGAATCTGTTAGAAAACCCGATGCGGCTACGCCCCAAATACGCAGGTTCCACGAGTTGAGGTCGAGCTCATAACGCAACTGACTGCGGTCCTGGAAAAATGATGAGCTAACGTCCGATGTAAGATGCGATGAAGGATCGAAGCAGCTGTCAAGGTGTCGGGATGAGGCTAAGTAAGAGCTAAAGGCGCACCGAGGCGAGTGGTGGCGTAGGAACAGGAAACCAGAGACGGGACGAAATCGGTAAGTGAACGTACCTGAATATCGCGAGCGGACAAGGCGGAGCTGTCACTGCCTAAGTAGCCCCGGTTTCTTCTCACGAGAGGGTCGGGCAAAGCCGACATGGCTGCCGCTCGACTTTCTCGAGGTGATTCACTATCTACGATCGGTGGATGAGAATAGGGAGGCACGGCTTCGTTGAGCGAAGTGAGACTTGTGATACGGGGCAGTAGCTATAATACACAGTCAACCCTTGAATTGATAAGTGCTGCGCTACCAGAGTATGAGGCGAGACAGGCTCACGCAGCAGCGCGTGTTATGCTTACTGTGTAGATGCAGGAGAGGTCGGATAGTCGGATTGGGGAGGGGGAAGTATGGGTCGCAGTGAGCGGGACCCATCTACAAGCAAGGGTATCTTAATCGCAAACGTAGTTGACAAAAGGCCATTGAGTTGGTTGAGTGTAAAGAGTTGATTTTGTCGAGTAGGAGTCATAAATGACGGTGCGGAAAAAATGGGAAGAGAGCCTGAAGGAACACTCGGGAGCAACTCAGTCCTAAGGTGATCAAATGAAGAAAGAGTGAAGCCGAGCAAGGAACGTTGAGTAAGAAGGTAAGGTTGACAGGACAGGACAGGACAGGACGCTAACCACAGAGCAGGCTGACCGAGGGCTGCCAAGCGCTGAAAAGACTAAGTGAGTACGGAGTAGGTACCTAGGTAAGGTAGGAAACCGCAGGCTTGGATTCTGATTTTCGGCGAGGAAAGAAAAAGGTTGCGGCAAATCTTGACAGAATCCCCTGGTTCAATCAAGGTAAGGTAAGCAACTTTCCATTGACAATGACCCCCACCTATTAGCAACCAACCAATGTGGCCGTATTCGTCCAGAGGCTGTCAATAGTCTATATTGCGTCTCTCAACCGAGCCCAGTGCTATGTCTAACTGACCAGGACTGGCCATATCCTCGGGATGAGGTAGTTGAACATCGATAGTGAGTGAACATGCATGCTCCGGCGTCAAAGAAAGCTACCTTGGGCTTAGGTTAACGTGAGACGGGCAGGGAGATGTCGCACCCTAGAGCTATCTAAGCACGCACCATATGCATTGCCTCGCTGAACATCGTGATCCCCAAACTTGGCCTGACAGACACTAAGTCCTCAGGCTTCTGACAGTGTGACTATGGACTGCAAGAACTCGATCCGTTACGCCCGTACATGGAGCCATCATGTTGAGCGTTGAGCAGGTGCGCAGCCTACTGGCAGCGGACATGGTGGCAGCAGGAACAGACTAGACTGGACCAGAATAGTTCAGTAGGGGCATGGGCCATGTAGGTGGGCACAGAGCTGAGAGCATGACGGGAATTCCCAGTACCAGTCGCTTGAGCATGCCGTCGCTTCAGGCGCTGTCATTGGCCGACCCAACCTGACGGCGGCGGGCACCTTGAACTGGATTTGGTACGTCCAACCCCACCTACGCAGTACTTCAATACTCGATCCATCTCGCGGTATCCCCATCCGTAAATCCCATTGTCTACCTTACCTTTGGTAGGGAAGGTATCTACTGTAGGTACTCTGTACCGATACCGAAGATAGGGTTCCTTCCCGTGGTACAACGTAGCACTCATTTACCTTGGGTACGCTGCATCGCAAATGCTAGACCGGAGCATGCTTCATGTTGCTCTGAGACTGAGTACCTGGCCATGGGTGCATAAACTAGGTAGGTAGGGCAGATGGGTGAAAGAGAGAGTTACGGTTGAAGCCTACACAATTGGTTGAGGTAAGCGAGACAGTTTACCGGCGGACCGTTGACAATTTTAGTCTCCGGTACGGCGGTACCCGACCAATTCTTCGGATCCTCGTCCGCACCCGGGACCCTGTGGTATTCCCATTTCCCTCCTACCTTACTGCATGCTAGGCATCCCGTCGCAGTAAGGTAAGGTACTGTTCCGAACGTCCTTCCCCCTTATTTGCCTGCCCTTCATCTACCAAAGTCCATCCCGCCAACAGACGGGATCCCCCCTCGTCTGCCATCTGACTCCGCACCCGGCCCTTCACCACCAACATATTGTGACCCCGCTCCGTCCGTCAAATCGTCCCCCATCCTCGCTTGACTTTCGGAAGCCGCGTCTTTGTCTGCTTCAACCATACCAACTCAATTACCCAAGGTACTTAACTCTTCTCCAACATCAAGCCTCGCTTTACCACGGCGCCGTGCTAGTCTTGTGCCAGGTCACAACCTCCACCGGCCCCGTTCCCGGCACTGGTATTGGCACCTGCTTTGCTGACGGCTTGGCTATTAGATTTCTCTAACGGTACCCGACCTCTTAGGCGCCACTATCCGTACTATCTCAGAAATATCAAGCTTGCACCCTGCCGGCCGTCACTTGCCTCGGCGCCCCTCGTTCCTTCTCCGTCTGCGACACAGCCATCCGCCTTATCGTCCTTTCCCAACATTAGTTTGATGCTAGGTGCAGCGCCTGTCGCCCCTTCGCCCCGTGCAAAGCTCCAGGACCATCGCTACCTCGAGCGAGGAATTGGCACCCGTATACCTTCTCGCCGTCGCATCCTCCCGCCGTTTGAATGCATCCGTCCCGAGATCTAAGCGCGCTTACCCTCCTGACGACCACACGATTTCGAACCGCCAGACGAATCGGCCATATACTCAAATCTCCAACACCATGCCATGATTGCCATCTCAACTCCCCGCAGCCTTTTATTGATTTGTTGACAAGGCTCCGAGACAAGAACTAGGCCAAGGCCTTTCAAGCATGGCCGCCTCGTCTTCCTCCGGCTCGTCTTTTACCTCCTCCTCCCTTGGCCGGCCCCCTTCCTACGGCCAGCCATACGCAAGCCCCATTGACTCGACCTGGACACCAACGTCAGGCGCCTCGACGATATCGGCTCTCACCTCCGAGGCCTCAGCACCGCACGCCTCTCTTCATCCTCTAGATCTTGGACCTCCAGGCTATCAAGCAACTATGTACCATTTTTCTACTACTCGATTCGAAGCCCCTCTTTCCAAATCTCCGTAACCATACATCTCGAAAGTAGTCTTTGCCCCTTTCTGACTCTTGTTGATCTTCAGAACCCTCTTTGAGAATACCCCCAACGAGCGCACGGTTTATCTTGGCCCTTGGGAGGTTGTCGGCTCCGAGCAGCGTCGCGTACTATGGCAGTGCAGCTACCAGAGCGAGCTTCTTGAACACTTCCGTACCTCATCCCCCGCATCAATCATCCGAGCCAGGGGCCATCATTCTGACCATAGTTTAGTTCCGTCCGATGTGCCCGCCGACATCTTTCCTCATACCTTGCACGCCCGTCATCGTCCATACACAGATTCTTGCGAACTCGAGCTTTTTGTCAGCTTTCGCGAGCCACATAGAGTCAGATACACTACCGGCGAAGGTGTGGTGGTTCATGACCATCTTACCGAGGTCAAGTACGAGTTCACCACCGTGGAGAGCTCTATACGCTTCCAGGGAGATATTCGTCGGAAAGACTTGGTTGACTACTACGATGTTGACGTCGTCTGGTCCGATCAGCACGGAAGAACGGACGGCTTTGGTAATATTAGGGGCATGGGATTGGTACAGAGGCTCAAACTCTGGAGGGACCGATACTCGACTTACCACTCGCTGACCGTTCTTGCAAATCGTGCGAGTGGCCGGCAATATCGAGAATACGAAATCCACAATTTTGAGGGCGAACTGCGTAACCGCGACGATCGACACCGCCAGGTCCGCTTGACAGTTCGCGGAAGTCGACGCAGCAGCGCTCCCGATAACAGCAGTTCCCGCTCACGCTTCAACCTGGCACAACGAATGCGTCCCCGCGTGCGTTCCGGTTCTCAAGGGGGCCCATCGACTTCTGACGGAGCACCGTCGGGCACACTGAATATTCGCTATATAGGCGTACAGTTCAGTAAACGTGAAGGTATGGCGAACCACTTCTTAGCAGGCATTGAGCGGCTCGTTGCGAAATTATCACACCCTTGCTACCCCACCTTGAAAAGGGATATGGACATTTGACTTACACGGAATAGATTACCTTCGGTTTTTGGAGAGTTGGGTCGTAGCGCACAGCTCCGACAGCGAGTTTCACGGCATACCTTTTCCTGCCCACCATGTTGAGCTGCCATCGCCGGAAATGCTTCCTGGAGAAATGTCCGAACTGCCGTCCCCTGATATCTCTCGAGGCTTGGAGCCAGTGGTGGAGCCCCCAGATCCTTATGAGTCTGACTCGGCTGCTTGAACGGCTCCTCGATCGACGACAAACTTCGACTGCAGCCGTTTCAGGCCACAGAACAACAAGTGGATAAGAGGAGTCGGGCTGCCATTGACTGACTCGTCTCTTCGGGTTTGACCTGGCTTATTCTGCAACTTCCGTCATCCACAAGAAGGGAAGATACCTATGAGGTGTAACGCTGCACAGAATCCTGATGGAACGAATCCTGATCGACACCCAGCTCGCGGAATATCGACATCACAACGGAGTGCGCGATGGTGGGTTATGGTTCCACGCAAGAGCTCGCAACTGGGCTTGGTGTATTGCATCAGGCAACTCCAAAAAGTGGTGTGTTATTTGCATGGCTAGAAGGCGCCGCTTTGGGTTCCCGGGTCCGGGCGTTGACAGGTTGGACAGGCCCCACAGAGCCTCCACTTCTGCGCTATCTGGTGGGGTGACAAGGCACGGCGCGGGGTTCCGTAGCTGCCAGCTCCCAGCAGACCCCCGCCCCCAGAAGTCCAATAGCACCATGGAACGTCACCACACCCGGCCAAGGCGGGCGTTTGCAGCGAGAAGAACCTCAGATCATGGTGCCCAGGGCGACACCGCCCACTTCGGCTCTTGACCATTCCACCGCCGACGTCTACTGATGATGCCCTTCTTAAAAGCTTACGATGTCGCCCAATTCAGCTCGTCGTATCTTGACCTGTCTCGTCCAACTGCGTCCTAAATTCAACACATTGATTCTCAATTGTCTAATACGAGACACCACCATCAGGTGGTCGATTCATTTTTCATCGACCGAGCCAACGGACCCAACTGTGGGTTGCATAACACGCCGATCGACCACATCCTGCTGCCGATTCTCGGTTTTGAAAGGCATTCGAGACGAACTCTCCGTTCTTACTGCAGACCACCACTGCACATCCAGATCCTATCCACGATGAAGGTTATCCTTGCCATTAACGCGGGTTCAAGCTCTGTCAAAATCTCGGTGTACTCAGCCGAGCCAAAGCAGTCACCCCGCCAGATTGCAGAGACATCTATCAGTGGTCTGACGGCTCCACCGGCTCAGGTATCGTACACCCGCGGCGGCGTTGAAGTCAAGAAGAACGAGGATCTGGAGGATAAGGTGTCTACACAAGATGATGCTTTCAAGGTGCTTCTAAAGACCCTGATTGATGACGCAGAATTGCCCGAGATCAAGCAAAAGGCCGATATTGCCTTGACATGTCACCGCATCGTGCATGGAGGCGACTATCCGTGCTCCCAAGTTATCACCCAGGACACATATCATCACCTAGAGGAGCTCAGCGACCTTGCCCCGCTGCATAACGGCCCGGCCCTTGATATCGTAAACTCTTGCGTGGAGCAGCTGCCCGACGCTGTCAACGTTGCATGCTTTGACACACAGTTCCACTCCACCATCCCCGATCACGTCCGCACGTACCCCATCAACCAAGAAATAGCTAAAAAGAACCACCTCAGAAAGTTCGGATTTCATGGCGTCAGCTACTCCTTTATCACTCGGTCCGTCGCCGAGTTCCTCGGTAAGGAGACCAAAGACTTGAACATCATCGCTCTTCATCTGGGGAGTGGTGCAAGCGCTTGCGCCATCCGAAACGGCCAGAGTTGGGATACAAGCATGGGATTGACGCCCGTTGCCGGCTTGCCCGGGGCTACGAGAAGCGGGAATGTAGATCCGAGGTAAATCGTAGCCAACGTTCGTTGCGCGTGTTTAGCAGCTAGCTAACTTGTGTGTGCGCACAGTCTCGTCTTTCACTACGCGAGTGACGTCGGAAAGCTCTCCCCTAATTCAACGTCAAAGTTGCATCTTACCGAGGCTGAAGAAATTCTCAACAAACAAAGCGGATGGAAGGCCCTGACAGGAACGACCAACTTCGGTGTCATTGCTTCTTCGGACGAGCCTACGCACAGACTCGCGTTCGAAATTTTTGTTGACAGGATATGCGCCTTCATCGGCTCCTACTTTGTCGCCCTTCATGGCGATGTGGATGCATTGGTCTTTGCCGGTGGCATCGGCGAGAAGAGCGATAAGCTACGGAAACGCGTCGTAGAACAGTGTACCTGCCTTGGCTTCACCATCGACGACGAGCTCAACAGCAGGAAGATTGTCGATACGGTGCAGGAAGTCGGTAAGAACAGAGCCAAGTGTCGTACACTGGTCTGTCAAACGGACGAGCAGTATGAGATGGCAAGACTCTGCACAGAGAAGGAGGAACTCTGGAAACAGCAGTAGTCTTCAGCTCGTGTCAAGGGGCAGCCGTCGGTTTCTCAACGATCGCGATGAGCTGTTGATGTTGCACAGGTTTGCTCCGATGATGAAAGGCACTGGCGTATGGGGCTGGCGCAATAGTTCTGGGTTGAGACAGACGGATAATTAGAGGTGCCAACACCGGAGGCGGGGCTCAAAGGGCTACAAGATAGACTTAATGGAAAGACGAAACCATCCACCGAATTGAGCCGCCCTCAAGACCACTTAAACAGTCCATCAGCCAGAGCAAAAGACGCCCATGTGCTCATACGCCCTAGCCTCACCGCACACCCCCGCAGACCTCGTGGGAAGGAAACCGTTTGCGCAGCGATCTAGCGTATACCGGCCAACGAGCGTGGGATGTTCCAACTTACATTCCAGCGGCGAGCGGGTAAGTGGCCTGCGTCGTTTTACTTGACAGCGTCCACAATATCCCAGGCAACAACAGGTGGACCGATCCGGGTTACCATTCACGCCTCGTTCCATTCCAACGGGAGATGCAGGCTTGAGGTAGACGGTGCCTTGTCTCCGGGGTGTGTAGAAGACAGAAAGCGGAAGGGGGAAAAGTAAAGAGGTGGTAGAGGAGGCAGAAAATAGAGACATGTGGTGGTTTTTTTCCGGCTTTACAGGCGCAAAAGATCGACCTTAACGGGATCACGCTTTCAAGGGAAATCACACGATACGGTACACTTTTTAACTACACAATACGCGCAATGTGCCCCAAGCACGCGCTCAACGCAATATAGTGATTTCGATACGAAAACCGCCATGCAATTCGGGATGGGCAAGCTGCCCGAAAATAGAGACATATCCGTACGCATTGGATGCCATGTTCGGGCCGAGGAGGTCAAGTAGAGTTAGTTGCTGTGGTGGTTCTTGTCCATGTTTCAAAGGACCCAAAAAAAAAAAAAAATCGCGAGGAGAAGCAAGGACAGAAAGGTAAGAAAGAAAAGAAAAACAGTAGATCGAGATCTTCAAATCGTTGCTGCTGCTGCTGCTTGCTTGGGATCCGACGGGATGGGCAATGCGGCGTGGCATGACAGCCCCCGAACACCTAGGAACGTCGAAGTTCAAAACACATACATGCAATGCTAGAGAATTTCTCCCCAACCGCCACCCCCCTCCTCTTCCCAGACAAACATCCCTGTACTCCGTTGAGATAGGCATCTCTCCTATGCCGGACTTGGGATGGAGAACGAGAGACACGCACGGGAAGACAGGACTGAACGAACCTCTGGAATTTGTCTTTAACCGTCTGATCGGGATCACAAAGGCTCATCAGCGTGGGAAAATGGGGGAATTTTGCTTGGGGGCCGCGCGGATTCTGGTATGTCTTGCCCATGCCGTGTAGGCTCAAACAGCTAGGCGGTGGGTTGGAATGCATCGTGGGAATTTTGATGTGTTTTGTTTTTTTTTTGTCTTTCTTTGCCTTCTCGTTTACCAGCTGCGTGGCACAGAGACACGATGGTGAGACAAAAATGCCTTCTTGGGAACTTCTCTCGTGATGTTTCGAAGAACATCGTGATGGTTGGGTTAGCCAGCCACTTTGGTGACTCTACTCACGTAAAGACAGCGAATGAAGAGGGCAGAAGTGAACATGCTTGTTCAACGTGTGTTTGTATTTCTTTTTTTTTTTTTTTGACCTCGCCGTCGGCTATAAACCAAGACGACAGGCAGTGGGAGTGATATCGACATTGGGACGGACTCCCAACTTCCCATCCACTCATGTGTGTAAGTGGTCTATGAGAAAGATCGTCCACCCCCGGTCTTGGGCGCAGCTGGTATCTAGAATCCGCGCGCCCATCCATGAAAACTCACTCTCCAACTTTCCAGCATCCTCATCATCCCAGTTTTCTTCCAAAAAGAGAGCCTGTCTGGGAAACCTCGTGTATATGTATCCCATTCCTAACCAGGAATAGCCTTTTTCCTCATCTTAAAACAAACAATCGCAGTGATGCGTCTGCCCCTCGGTACTGATTGAATCGAGGATTCGGGTATGTGTACGAAACCGTGAAGAAACCAACGCCGTGTAGAGAAGAAATCCGCCCCCCGGGTTGAAAACCTCCGCGGTTCAAAAACAAAACGTGATATATAACGCCGCGCCATTTTTGTTGCCTTGTTTCCCTTCCGTGTATGTGCAGGTACGCCATTCGTATGCTTTGCGACCCTCTATCACTCCGAATGACAACATAAAATCAACTAAAAACTAGAAAAGAAGGAAACGTGGGAGAGGAAAGACTCCTCAATGCGAGGGGTTAATCACCCGTCACAATCGAGAGCCACCGTGCGAAGTTCTCCACACCGTTGGCCATAGGAACGGCCGAAAGAAATAGAGAATGATGGGGTATTATATAGGACACGCTGCAAGAGTCCACCGGGTATAAGTGTTGAAACTGCCCAAGAGGGAGAGATAGAAGAGACATGCAATCGTTCTGATCCCAACAAAACTCTATGCACCTTCTTGGCAAGCGACAGCCATAGCCAGCGCGTCCAGGCCGCTGCTGGGTGTTCTTGCAGCGCTGGGGCGGCTTACAAGCGGCATGTGCAGGCCGCGAAGATCCCATGCGCCGCTAGCAGCGGGGGATGGGAGAGGAGCTTGGCCGGGAGGATATCCGTAAGGAGACTCGCCCTCCCACATGGGCTGGTCGCGGGAAGCACGGTTGCTGGCGGCAGCGGCCCTAACGGATGATGAAGAGGACCTGCGTCCGGATGCTGATAGACCGCCCATTGAGGGACGTGAAGCCTTCGCGGA